TTTCCTTCTAAAATAAGATATATGGTAATCTGTGATCAGATGTAAACATATACATCCTGAAATGTACATATAAGGTCAGCTGGCCTGACATAGAATTCTGTTAATATGAAAGTAGATGATGTCCCTACCCATTCTAACCCATTCATTCAAAATACCTTGAAATGCTTATTGACATTATTGAGATTTAGCCTTCCACTCTGCTGGTGTTTATAGTTAAGAGTCAGAAATACTTTTACACAGAAGACCTTGTATGGTTTCTTTGTGTGAGTGGACAGAATTTGTGGAGCAAAGACCTGGAATCTGGCGTATGAGAATGTGCAATAATTGTCCAATGAATAAGCTTTTCAAATTGGCCTTCGTGTAATTAAAATCAGAATGCTGAAGTGTTGCGTATTCCTCATTCTTGCAATTATATTTTTAAAAGTTAAAGTCAAAGCAAAACAAAAAATAATCCTTCTATCCCTCTTTTCATACCCATATTTTGGCAACCACTGATATACTTTCTGACATTAGAGATAAGTTTACATTTTCTAGAATTGTATATTAATTGAATTATATAGATTTTATATAATTTTATGTAAATAGAATCATACAGTGTTCTTTTTTGACCTCACTTCTTTGACTCAGCTTACTAGTTTCTTTTTTAAAAATTGGTGAATAGGGCTGGACATGGTGGCTCATGCCTGTAATCCCAGCACTATGGGAGGCCAAAGTGGGCGGATCACTTGAGGCTAGTAGTTCAAGACCAGCCTGGCCAACATGGCGATACCCCATCTCTACTAAAAATACAAAAATTAGCTGGGTGTGGTGAGGCATGCCTGTAGTCCCAGCTACTTGGGAGGCTGAGGCAGGAGAATCATTTGAACATGGGAAGCGGAGGTTGCAGTGAGCTGAGGTTGTGCCACTGTACTCCAGCCTGTACGTGCAACAGAGCGAGACTTTGTTTAAAGAAAAAAATTGGTGAATAATATTCTACTGTACAGATATACCAGTTTGTTCACGAATTCACCAATTGATGGACATTTGTTTTCAGTTTGGCAGTTTGGAGCTATTACACATAAAGCTGCTGTGAACACTCTAGCATAAATCTTTGTATGGACATTTGGTTTTGTTTCTCGGGGGTAATTACCTGTCAGTCAATTGGTTGGGTCTTCTGATACTGTAAGTTTTAACTTTTTAAGAAACTCCTAAACTATCTTTCAAACTGGTTGTGCCATTTCACATTTCCATCAGTAGTATATGAGAATGCTGAATAATTTAGTATGATTATCTTTTTAATTTTAGCCAATCCAATAGATGTGTAGTGGTTACCTTGGGTTTTTATTTGCATTTCCCTGATGACTACTGCTGATGTTGAATATGTTTGTGTAGGGGAAAGGAGAAGTGGATTTTTTGGCCATTAGTTCACCTTTTATGAAATGGCTGTTTAAATATTCTGCCCATTTCTTTAAATTGGATTGTTTGTCATCTTAGTGAGTGGTAAGAATACTTAATATATTCTGGATACATGGTTACACAAAAATATATACATATATATTACAAATATATCTAATAGTTCTCTCTATATGAGAACACTAAAGATGTTGCTTATCATTTTCTACTTTTCAAGTTGTTTGTTAAGAAATCCATGGTAAAAGCCTGGCCAACATGGTGAAACCCTGTCTCTACCAAAAATATAAAAAATTAGCCAGGTGTGGTGGCGCACATCTGTAGTTGCAGCAACTCTGGAGGCGGAGGCAGAAGAATAGCTTGAGCCCTGGAGGCGGAGGTTGCATTGAGCAGAGATTATGCCACTTCACTCCAGCCTGGGTGACAGCATGAGACTCCATCCTAAAGAAATCCAGAGTAATGTGAATTGTTACCCTGTATGTAATATGTTGAGTTTTTTTCTAGCTGATTTTGCATATTTCTTTACTTTTGGTTATGCAGCAGTTTGTGTCTTGGTTTGGTTTTCTTTGAGTTTATTTCTTTTTAGATTGAGCTTCTTAAATCTGTACATTGATATCTTTTACTATATTTGTGAAGTTTGGGGTGATTGTTTCTTCAGATAATTTTTCTGCCCCAATATTTTGCTCCAGTCATTCTGGGACTCCAAATGCATATGTTTGAGTCCTTTCGATATTGCCCTACACGTCCCTGAGGCACTGTCTACTTTCTCCTCAATCTTCCTATTCTCTGTGTTCTTCAAATCGAATTATTTCTGTTAATCTTTAAGTTCATTGACTTTTTTTCTTTGTCATCACCATTCTGCTCTTCAGGCTATTCAGTGAATTTTTCTTTTCAGGATTTTTTTTTTCTGTTTAAAACTTTTATTTTGATACTTTTATGGTTTCTATTTCTCTGCTGAGAATTTTAACCTTGTTTATTTCAATATGTTCTTCTTTACCTCATGGAGCATAATTATAACAGCTCTAAAGTATTCGATAATTCCATCATCTAGTGATTGCCTTTTCCATTGAGAATTATTCACATTTTCTTGGTCCTTTGTATTTCAAGTAGTTTTGGGTTGCATCCTGGACATTGTGGATGTTATATTGTGTAGACTTTTTTATCTTCTGAAGAATGTTGGTATTTTTGTTTTAGCAGGTGATCACCCTGCTCAGGTTCAGACCTTAGTTCCGTTTTAACATCTGTGGCCAGCGGCTCCAATATCTGTTCAGTTCTCCTAGCCTTTGTATAGTAGGCAGAATAATGATTTCCAGAGAGGTTCATTTCCTAATCCCTGGAGCCTGGTAATATTTTAGGTTACTTAATGAAGAGGAGTTAGGTTGCAGTTAGAGTTGAGGTTGCTAATCAGCTGACCTTTAAAGAAAGAGATTTTCCTGGATTATCTAGTTGGGCCCAATGTAGTCATAAGGTTTTCTAAAAGTGTAGTCATAAGGTTTTTAAAAGTGAAGAAGTGAGGCAGAAGAGTTAATATCAGAGTGACAAAGTGTGACAAAGACTCAACCTGCAATTGTGGCTTTGATGGTAGGAGGGGGACCCCAGCTAAGGAATGTAAGCAGTTTCTAGAAGCTGAACAACACCAAGAAATGAATTCTCTCCAGAGCCTCCAGTAGGAATACAGCACTGTTGCCATCTTGATTCTAGCCCAGTGAGTCCCATTTTAGACTTCTGACTTCCAGAATCATAACATAATTTGTGCTGTTTTAAGCCACCAAGTTTGAGGTTTATTTGTTATAGCAGCAATAGAAACTGATAGACTTTGCTACATTGGTTTTGGTCTGTTCTGCACCTGTGTAGTTCAGTGGTCATTCTGTAGCTTTTTCAGGTTCATGAACAGATTTAAGGGATACTCTTTTCTGATTCTGTCCCCTCTGGCATTTCCCCCATGCTGTATAGCCAACAGGGCCTACTTGTGCTTACTTTGGATAGAAATATGGGACTCACTGGAATTTTACCTGTTGGCACTGCCACACCACTCTGTGACCAAAGCCTGCCCTCAGGACAAAGTAGAGAAAGGAAATGGAACAATATTAAAACAGAAACTCACCCCCATGTGTTTTGCTTCAGCAAGTTTTTGACTCTATAACCTATTATAAAGTGAAATGAAATTGTGGACACCTGTGAAGCAGTCTGAGTGCAAAATTTTTCTAGACTTTCAGTTTTTTTCCCAATCTTTTAGAGTTGTCTCCTATCTAATTCAACAATTTTAGTGGCTTGCCTTTTTGAGCTTTTCCAGTGACTTCAGCTGATCTTCTTAGAATTACTTTCTTCATCTATTTTGCAAGTTAATTGAATTACCTAATAGCTATACCAAGCATAACTGGAAATGCCACAGCTGACTTGGGCAAACTCCTAACTCCAATTAGTACAGACATGGAGCCATCCAGCCATGACTCTTGGGCATTCTGTGGTTATTAGTTGTATTAGTTTTGTATTCCACCAGGACAAATTACCACAAACTTAAACAATACAGTACACATTTATCTTACAGTTATGTATGTCAGAAGCCTGACATGGTTCTCACTGGGCTAAAATGAAGGAGTTGGCAGGGCTGTGTGTTCTTTTCTGTAGGCTCTGGGCAGGATCCATTTCCTTCACTTTTTCAGCTTCTGGAAGTTGTCCACATTCCTTGGCTCTTGGCTTTGTTCCTTTATCTTCAAAGGTACCAAAGGCAAGCCATGTCCATTTTCGTTATTTCACTCTGATAGTCTCTTCTGGGACCCCTATGATTATATTGGGCCATCCTGGATAATCTTCCATCTCAAGATCTGTAACCATGTCCCTCAGGATTAGGACATGGACATTTTGGGAGTTGGGGAGGATTAGTCTATTACCCATATCAATTAATCTTATTTACAGACGGTATGGAGAGTAATGATTAGTATGTTGAATTGATTAAGTAGACAAGTGGCTACCGTATATAGATGTAATGTTGGAACAAATAATATGTTCCATAATAGTTTCTGTAAGGCTGATTCTATTCTGAAATTTTAATTAATTTATAGTTAATATAACTGCCTCTGTATTTTATTGTGGTGTTTTGTGGCGAGAATTGAGGAAGAGATGGGAATGGGATTATTTTGCTATGGCTCATAATACCCAAAATGTGATCCTTGGTCAGTTTACCTAAATATCCATGTAATCATATTTATCTAATTTAACAATTTGCTGACATCTTCCTTATTTTACTTTTTATGAAGTTTTTAGCCATTTATATTAGACGGTGATTTTTAAAACAACTTTTGAAGACTTAGTTGACATTTTAGTAGATATGATTGATTTAATATGATTTTTGTTTTAGATTTTTAAAATCTGATTTAGCTAAATCCATATTCTGTAGCTAATTCTCCATATCTAACTAAAATTGAATATCTGAGGATTTTCTAAACTTGGGAAGATCTAAAATGTTTGATTAGAAAATTTCTTGTGCATTTCAAATTGTAAGTCTTATGCATGGCTCTAATGTAATAGTAATAAATAATATTAACATGCATATTTCAACACATTTTAAATTCGGTCAACTACTTCTAAAATTTATCTTTTTTTTTTTTGAGATGGAGTCTCACTCTGTCGCCCCGGCTGGAGTGCAATGACCTGATCTTGGCTCACCACAACCTCTGCCTCCTGGGTTCAAGTGATTCTCTTGCCCCAGCCTCCCGAGTAGCTGGGATTACAGGCAAGCACCACCATACCTGGCTAATTTTTGTATTTTTAGTAGAGACAAGGTTTCACCATGTTGGCCAGATTGGTCTTGAACTCCTGATCTCCGATGATCTACCCACCTTGGCCTCTCAAAGTGCTGGGATTACAGGAGTGAGCCACCGTGCCCAGCCAAAATTTATCTTAATTCACAGATTTTTATAATTGACTTTATCAAATAAATATTTTTAGGTAAAAGAAATATTTACTAATATATGAATCATAATCAAAATTGAGCTTCAGTTATGCTAACAAGTCCACTGAAATGTAGCTAGAGTAACTAACTGCAGCGAAACTTGGTTCAATCTATAAATCTAAAACTTAAAACAACACATGCAATATGATTTGCTATAAATCTTTAGTTGTTAGTTGAAATGCATTTTAGGCAAATTGGTCACTTTCTAGGGTATGGGTTGGGGATGTCATTCTCTACCTTTTCAGCCAGGATACAGTTCTGTGTCCCAAGAAGTATAGTGTAGTCAGTGACTTGTCCTTTTATGATGACCATAAAATACTTCAGACTGGTGTTTGTAAGAAGACAGGAATATAGTAAAATATGTTAGAATTACTTGCACAAAAACCAAAATTTTAAAAATTAGTAAAGTTTTATCACTTATGCAGAAAATTTTCTATTAGAAATTATACAGTCTCTCATCTCAAATACCGTGTTTTACTGTTCTAAGAATCAGCTAGTGCTACAGTGAAAAAGAGTCAGCAGATAGTTTTTTTCTGAAAAAATTAACTATAGTCTAACGTGAGAAATTTCTCTAAAAATATGTTTTTTTTCCACAATCTAGTCTGGTCTCTGTTTTCTTTCATTCCCAGATGAAAACATATTGCTGTCTTGAACCATCAGCATGTCTGTTTTCTGCAATGATTTTTGTTCTGCTTTGGTCTTAAACTTTTGATAATTCATTTTATTATAAACATGAAAGTTCATTTAAATATTGTTTTTGGTTCCCTTAAAGGAAAAAGAATATCTAGAATAAAGTAATAATTTGTACCATGTTGTAGACTTGCTTTAATTGATTAATGCTTGTCTTATTTTTTGAAAAGGATTCACTTTAAAAAAAAACCCACTATCTACCATGCAAAAACAAGTGACTTCTTTGAGGTTGCTTAACCATTTCCTGTAAGTCTGGGAAAGTGATTGTTTTCAAAATCACCAAACGGAATCTGGGTAGAACTAAACTTAGCTGAGCCGTTCTGTGGGTTAAACTGACTTATTGTTTCACTTCTGTCTTCCTCTAGAGAAGTTAAAATTTAACAATTAAAAAAAGAAATTTCCTTGGTTCATGTCATTTTTAATAACTAGCTGAGTATCTTTGGGCATAAGTTAATTGTTTTATTAACAATAAATGTAATAGGATTAGAGATTCTCTTTAAATCTATTAACAATAAATGTAATAGGATTAGAGATTCTCTTTAAAAAGCTTCTAGTTTTCTAAAATAGCCATAGCTGTTTTTTTAAAAAAAAGCTTCTAGTTTTTAAAAATAGCAAAACAAAGTTTTAGTAGCATGGGCACTGTGCTGTACATTCATCCCGCAGTATCCTTGGAGGATTGGTCCTAGGATCCCCTTCCCACTATCAGAATCCACTAATGTTCAATCCCTGTATATGTGCATATAACCAGTTTACATGCATTGTCCCATTTACTTTAAATTATCTTTAGATTACTTATAAAACCTAATACAATGTAAATACTATGTAAATTATACTGTAACATTGTTTTATTATTTTTTATTTTTTTCAATTTTTTAAAATCTGCAGTTAGTTCAGTCTGTAGATGTGGAACCTGTAGATACAGACTGACTGTATTTGGATTTCATAATCTTAATGAGAGAAAAGGGAAGGGAGAAAAGTCCAGTTTCCTGCCCATGATGAAGCAGTAATACAGTGAATTTAGTTCAGACATCAGCCAACCTTTTTTGAGTACCTGCTAAGTACTTTGCTGAGAAAGTTGTAGAAACCACAGTGTCAGTGTGTTTCTACACATTTCTACAATTGCTGTAGTTGTGTTTATCTCAAGTATGGGTGGTATTATCCTAAACCTCTATGCAGTTCTCTCTGATGTAGACTCTGTGACTGCCCCTCCAGACTTTTCCAGAGACTATGTAGACATGAAGCGTTTAGTTGGCACTAGGGACTTGATTTGACATTCCTGGGCTCTTTTACCCGAAGTCTAAAGGGTATAGGTACTGCAGTCAAAAAAAATGGTGGGTTTGCAACCTGGCTGTGCCACTTTATAGCAAGTTCTTAAACCTCTTTGTCTCTCACTTGAGCTGTAAAATGTGAAGATTAAATGTTAATTAATGTTTGTAAAATGCTAATTAATGATATAGCTGATAATTTTTTGAGTACATACTCTGTGCTAGACTGTGTTCTAAATGCTCTTACATATCATTTAATTCTTATAACTCAATGAGATAGATACTAATATTATCCCCATCTTATAAATGAGCAAACTGAGCTTGGAAAGATGAAATAACTTGCTTAAGGGTACACAGGAGGTGGCAGAGCAGTCTGGTTCCAGAGATATCCTTTTTTCTTTTTCTTTTCATTTTTTTTTCCCCCAGGCTAGTCAAGTGAAGCAGTGAGAGTGGAGAAACACCATTGCACTGGGATCAACCACCAGGATACATATATTTTAAGACAGAGTCTCGCTCTGTCACCCAGGCTGGAGTGCTCCATCTCGGCGTGAACTTGGCTTACTGCAATCTCTGCCACCCGGGTTCCAGTGATTCTCTGGCCTCATCCTCCCGAGTAGTTGGGACTACAGGTGTTCATCACCACGCCTGGCTAATTTTTGTATTTTTAGCAGAGACTGGGTTTCACCATATTGGTTAGGCTGGTTTTGAACTACTGACCTCGTGATCCGCCCACCTTGGTCTCCCAAAGTGCTGGGATTATAGGTGTGAGCCACCGTGCCTGGCTCGGAGACATTCTTAATTACTTTGCTGTACTGTCTCTCTATTGCTTAGCTGGGTATTAGCATATGATTTGCCTTCAGTGAATGTTGGCTTTTATCAACATTATTGGTGGTGGTAGTGACAATGATGAACTTGGTTTTACTTTTTCAGTGTCTAACCTGGTCCAGTGCCAGGACTTCAGACAGCTTCTTATGAAGTCATGTACAACAAGCCCTTTGGCCTTAAGAGAAAAAGCCCACAGCCACACAGAGGAGTTTTTATATAAAGAATGCAAAATGTTCTGAATACCAAGTGTTTCTCTCCTTATGTTTCTGAGTTGAAATTTGAAGTAATCATGAGATAATGCATGTGTTCCCATTTTAAAGATGCCACAGATTATAGAACTAGTATGTACCAAATAATTTCGTTTTGTCCTAGGGGATAAATTAGTCTAAGAATAGTATACCAAAATATTAATTGTGATAATAGTGTACTGATCAGCTTATTCATAAATTGATCCTCTATTACTGCATAGCACATTGTAAAACTTAATGGCTTAAGGCAACAACCATTTTATTTGCTCATGATTCTGTAGGTCAACAGTTTGGATTAGACTCTGCTGGGTGTTTCCTATGCTGATCTTGCCTTAGGTGTAATGATCAAATCTGGGCAGTTGGAATATCCGTCACCTCAACATTTATCTTTTCTTTATGTTGTGAACATTCTAATTCTTCTCTCTATTTTGCACTATGCAGTAAATTATTGTTAATGGGCATGAAAATACAGTTAAAAGGAGTAAGATCTAGTGTTCAGTAGTACAGTAGTAGGTTGGCTATAGCTAACATCGTCTTAGTGCCCAAAGATTTTTATTTTGCATTTGGGCCCACAAATTAGAGTTCTTCATCTTTCTTTTTACGTGTGAATATGTGTTGCTTGTCATTCATCTGTAATTTCCAGGTCCTTAGAAAAAAAAAGTAGATTGAGAATGCAGGCATTTTGAAGACTGGTTGCAAAAATCCTATAATTCTACCTGCTCTCTCACTCCCCAGCCCCAAGGTGTATTTTTCTTGCCCATACCCAATGTGGCAGCGGGGTTATTTTGAGGACTCACTTTTGTAGGATCTTTCTGATGTATAACTCATTTTTCATAAACATAACTGTCTTTTTATATTTTTCATTTAATGACAATATTTAATTATTATATAGCCATAATTATAATTTTAACTAGCATAAATCAGCTTGAGAACAAACACTAATTTTTGGTAAGAGTGCAGTGCCTCTGGTGAGGGCATATGTGCTTGGACCTTGTAGAGAGTAGCCCTTTAGTTATGGGCATTCGGTCAGCACCTAGCATCTGAAAATGTCTTATAGAGGGAATGGAAGACATGGGTTAATTTGGAGGTTTGTTGAGTTGACATGGGTTAAAAGAATTTCTACCTTGTTTGTTGTGATAGCCATTTTTTTCTTATGATTTCTTCATTTTTAAATTTTTTTATGATTAAAATTTTATGATTAAGATCTGTATTACATTTATTTGGTCCTGTCCTTGATCTCTTTCACAGTAGTATTCTTTATGTGCTATAGTTTTTGTTTCTGTTTGCAGTTGTTCTTGGTCATTGGCATTCTCTAGTGGAATTTCTCCTTTTCAACTAAAATGTTCTCCTTGATTGATATTTAAAATAATGTGCTTCATAGTACGGAATTAAACCAGAATTAGCTCATCTTTTCTAATTTTTTTCTTTAGCACTATAATGTTGATTTTTGCTTATAGGACTATAGAACTGCACAGAAAATAGCAGCTGTGATTAGACTTAGTAAATATAATGCAGTAGAGAATTTGAAAATGATGGAGGCCAAGTGTTGCGGCTCACACTTGGGAGGCAGAGTGGGAATACTGCTTGAGACCAGGAGTTTAATACAAACCTGGGCAACATAGTGAGACCCTATCTCTACAAAAAATTTTTAAAAAATTATCTGGGTATGGTGGCACATGCCTGTAATCCCACCTAGTCAGGAGGACGAGGTGGGAGGATTGCTTGAGCCTGGAGTTTGAAGTTATAGTAAGCTATAATTGTGCCATTGCATTCCAGCCTGGGTGGCAGAGTGAGTAGACTCTGTCTTGTGTGTGTGTGTGTGTGTGTGTGTGTGTGTAGTGAAGAGAAACGTGGCTCTACCAGTGATGGATTCCTGGCTTTACCACTTAGTATATGTTGGAACCTCAGTTTTCTCAAAGGTAAAATAGGGATAATAACTCCCCTGTCTACTTAGATTATTGTAGGAGTCAAATAAGATAAATGGGTCACAACACTTTGCAAACTATGAAGTGCTTTATTATTAAAGAGCTCATTGCTATTATGTTAAACAATTAGGGTAGAAGCTTCAAAATCATAAGACAATAAACATCTTTAACTTTTCAGCCAAGCACACTAGTCTTTCTCTTTAAGATTCATTAGCATAATCTTCCCCCTCAAGCCTTTTACTATTAAAAATGATGTTTTATTGTCATTCACAGCACACATTAGTAGGTAAGTTCTTAAAATATAAAGAGTCCAGAAACCTTGTTTTGCCTTTAACACCAAAAACATAAAATCGTTTAGGTAAGCAACAACTC